GGTTGAGCCCTGTTTGTCATCTTTCCCAGCTCGTGGTCTGAGGCCTGAGTTTTCCCACACACCCTGTCACGCCCCGTGGGGACCAGTCGCTAGGAAGTGGGGGAGGGGATTTCATTCCCTCGTTTTAGAGCTCTTCGGGGTTGAGGCCGAGGGGTCTGCAAGTTTAGGGGCTGTGTCCCCTCTGCGGACTCAGCTTCGAAGACACGGCACCCACGTTTCCTGTTGCCCGCCGACCTTGTGGTTGCAATAGCACCCAGCCTACCCCCAGCAGCCACCTAGCCCAGTGGGGGCAAAGGGCTGCCCGGACAGCTCTCTGTCACCCAGGCTTGCCTGGCCTTCCTGTCACTCAGCCTGACAGGTCCTCCCACTTGGCCAGGGGGCTGCGAAAAAGCACTGTCATGTGCTGTGGGTAGGAGGGTAAGTGGGTGCAACTTTTATCAAGGGTCATGTGACTATCTATCATCTATCTAAAAATTTAAAAGGCAGTACGCTTAAAACTAATACAATATTACATGTTAATTATATCTCAATGAAAAAATTCGTATCTTTTGACATCCAAAGAAGTGAGTCAAAAATCCCTGTGCACCTGTTACAAAATCTAAATAAATGATCTCAGTTCCAATGAGTTAAGATAGCTATGTCATTTTCAATATTACTTACAATTTAAGAGCTTTCTATTTCTACTTAAGTAATTTCTGATACTATGTGTTAGTGTCTATAGGGAGGTGGACACTTCCCTCTAACTTCCCTGTTTGAAGAAAAGGAAAAAAAAGCCTTGCCCTTTGACCCAGCATTTCAATTTTTGGAAATTTATTCTAGACATACACTTGTATATGTGTAAATTAACAAATTCTATCAACTGTAGTATCATTTGTAATAATAAATGACTGGAAACAACCTGCATGTCCATCCATTAGAGATTGGTTAGATACATTTTTAAAAATTTTCTTCTTTAAAGATTTTCTTTATTCAATTTTTAGAGAGAGGTGGAGGGAGGGAGAAAGAAAGGTAGAGAAACATCAGTGTGTACAAGAGATACATCAATTGGTTGCCTCCCACACCCCGCAACCAGGGACCTGGCCTGTAACCCAGGCATGTGCCCTGACTGGGAATTGAATTGGCGACCTTTCAGTTTGCAGGCCGGTGCTCAATCCACTGAGCCACACCAGCCAGGGTAAGTTAAGCACATGTTTAACTACTGGACTACTATACAGCAATGAAAACGGACCACAGCTACATGCAACAACATGGTGGGAAAAGGAAGCAGAATCCCCCCAAATATTTACACTATGATTCTCTTTATATAAAGATTAAAATCTGTTAAGGTAAAAACTAAGCTATGTGTTAGGGATACTTATGTAAGTGGGGAAGCTATAAAGAAGAGCAAGAAAATAATTACTAAAAACGTTAGGATGATATAACTTCTAGAGAGGGGGAGGGGTCTGCAAGGGCACGTCTGGGGGTGCTTCTGGAATGTTGGGAGGGTTTTATTTTTGAGCCTGGATGGTGGTCAGACAAGTCTTACCTTTATTCTTTAAACTGTATGCAAATGTTTTGTGCATCCTTTAATATGAATGAGGTCTCTCATTTAACAATATTGCAATCCATCCAAACAGTGGAATGCTATACAGTCATTAAAAAGAACAGGGCAGCTCTTTATGCATGGGCATGGAATGGATTGAGCGGGGGGAAAGCAAAGTACAATGTGTTTTCATGCTACCTTTTAGGTGAAATTAGTGAGAGAACACATCTGTCCCTGTGCTTATGGATGTTTACTCGATGTCTAGAAAAAATACACAAAAATCAGGTAAGTTGCAGGGAGCCTATGGAACGGGAACTGGGCAGCTGTTTCCTTTTTTGTACCTTTTGAGTTTTGTATCATGTGCATATATTATCTATTCAAAAAATAAAATAATTAAAAATATTTTGCCTCCCATCTCTGGAACCCTTAAGATGTTTGGCGTCAAACTAATTTCTTGCCGATGAGAATGAGAATCACGGCCCAAGGCATGAGACGCCGGGCGACCTCCAGCAAGTCGGGGACCCCCTCTGGTCCTCATTTCCTCCACTGTAGAAGACGGAGGCCAGGTTGTCACCGGCCGTCCCCTCTCCTCCCCAATCCTTCATCCTCCTTTGCTGCTACCTGTACCCTGTTCCCTCCTTGCTGCTTCACTTCCCTCCTTCAACACTTTCTCCGATTTTGTTTTTCTTTCCCTTCCTCTCGGACCCTCACTGCCTCCCCCCACCCTCCATCCTCCCTGCCCTCTCTGTGCAGTCACAAGGGTGGAAGCGGCCAGCACGGTGCTGGGCGCTCAGAAAGAAGTCTCCTCCTTAGACAGGAGCTGTGAGCTCCGTGGCTGTGGGTGATCACACCCTTCCTGCTCTGCTTGAAATGGCTTGGAATTTGGGTCTTGCTTTTCTGAAGACTTTGCGGGACAGAGGTTCCCTGGGGATGTGAGGTCTGGGATGAGGCCTCTGGCGCCCTGTGTGGGGAGGGGAAGTGGGAGGGTGGACAGGGAGGACCTGTTGGCCTGCGCGTAGACACGGAGGCGCTCGGTTCGCAGAAAGAGCCGTTCTGCCTGTTTCCAGAGATTTGGGCCCTGGATCATTCTGGGGGCTTCCTTCCTCAGGCCTGTTGGGCTTGGCCAGACTTGGGATAATGGCATCTCTTTCTTCCTCTGGGGCCCTTGAGACTTCGATCTCAGAAACACTTTGCTGACCTGGTTTGCTGCCTGCACCACGACAAGAGCACCGCACCCCCTGTCTCTAACCAGCAAAAGCTTCACAGCCACCCCGCAGGCAACCCAGGCTCCTTGGCTTGACGCTCCGGCCCTTTGCCTTCCTGTCCTGTCTTTGTTCTCGCCACAAGGATGACAGCTCACTGTTCCCTTGTTCACCACCTCCCTGTTCCCCGCCCCACTCTTCGCCTTTGCTCAGGCCAGTTCCTCAGCCAGGGAATGCCCTTTCCCTGCATGCTTTCCTACCTGTGGTCCTGACTAATTAATTGTTCCTCGACATATCTAGCACCTCCCTCCTGGAGACATGGGGCATGCCTCATTCATGTTTGTGCCCAGCACGTGGAAGACCCTCAATAAAATGTTAGTGATTAAATGAATGAGTTAGTAGATAAATAGCCTATAAACAAATCAAAACAAACCAAGACAATCATGAATGAGTGAAGAAATCAAGCAGGGCCGGTTCTCCTGGAGCAAACCTATGCTCACGTACACCCAGTTAGCTGGGACTCTGCCTTCTTGACAAGGAAGCTGAGAGCAGGGAAGGAGCTGTTGCCAGGTCGGCGTGCCTCTCGCCGCCTCTTGGGGAGGGGCCTGGGTCCAGTTCCTAGGGTGTCTCGGGGATTTGTGACCTGGATCCCTTGCAGCATCCCAAGTGTGGATACAAAGTATCAGTGAAGATGGAAGTGGTCTAATGGTGAACCTACACCTGTGGATCCCGGGTCTTTGCAGCCAGTGAAGAAGCACTTGGGGCCTGGGGTTCCACTAACAAGAAAGACATCGGCTAGTCTCAGTGGGAGGGGGATAAAAAGCAAAGGGTGAGACTACATAGGGGATGAAACTGAATGCTCAAGAAGTTCTTCCCCAGCAAAGTGGACTCACCAGATTTTAATGGATCAAAACCTGTCTTTATTCATCCCTTTGCCCTCCAGTCTAGATCAGGAGCTCTCTGAAGGCAGGGATCATGTCCAATACTTTTCTGTTTTCCCAGGACTCAACATAGAGCCTGGAACTCAATTAATACTGACAGGATGAACTGATAAAAAGCCTGAGCAGTTGGTTGGGTGAATGAATGAATGAATGAGCAGGTGGGTGGACGGAAGGATGGGTGGGTAGGTAAACGAATGGATGATTAGGTAGATGGACGGATGGGTGGAGAGATGAATAGGTGGATGGATGGATGAGTGGATAAATGGACTAATGGATGAACAGATTGATAGCTGGATATCATAGCCTCAACATAGTCAGCAGATAGGGGAAATACAGACTGGCGGATAATGAGCAGATGAATGGGCTGGTCTCTGAACATATAGATGGCTAGGTAGACAGGTAGATAGCTAGATGGGTGGATGGATGAATGGACTAATAGATAAATGAATGAACGAAGGGACAGTTGGATAAACTGATAGATAACTGAATGTACAGCTGACTTGGTGGGTGGATAGATGGATGGACAAATAGATGACTAAATAACTGGAAAAAGTGATGAATGAATGGAAAGCCAAGAAAGGTTAATTGACTAGGAAGACCAGATTGATACGCTGGCACTGGCGAGGGGTAGGGAAGCAGAGAAATCTGGGCTGGGAATAGAGGCCCCAGCGATCTGGAAGGAGCAGTGGAACTCGGGAAACTGGGAGAGGGGGTGGAAGAACTCGGGGCCCTCCTTTGGTGGAAAGAAACCTGACGGGAAGCTATGGGGTCAGGGGAAGGGGAAAGCACAGTGTGCCAAGGACCCTACCCCAGAGCCGAGCCCCAGGCTGGGTGGAACCCGGGGGCTGGGGACCCTGGGCCTATGCAGAGCCAGGCCTGACAGTCTGAGCCCTCAGCCAGCCAGGCTGACCCCAGAAAGTGGAGGCCCCAAGAGGCTGCCCCTACCAGCTCTGACCCCAAGGAAATGACTATTGGCCATATTGGGGGGAGTCTCAAGAGAAGTAAGCATTTGTGGGGCTGGGACTGAGAGCCTCAACACAGCCCAGGGACAGCAAAGGCCTTGCGGTGGTAGCTCTAGCCTTCATCCCCCCCACTCTTCCTCCCCACCGCAGCCCCCATGGCCGCCCCTCACAGTCCCCGCTTCCTCTGGGCAGGGGGCCTGGCCCCCAGAGCCTCCCAGGCCAGCCCCTGGAGCACCACCTGCCCCAGCCTCCCCAGCCGGCCAGAGACTTCCTGTAGCGCAAGAGATTTATGCAAACGGGCTGGGGCAGTGATGTCACCCCAAGGGGACTATCTTCCAGTGGCAGGCCCTTCGATAAAATCAGGAACTTGCGCTGGCCCTGCAATGTCAAGGGAGGGGGCTCACGCAGGGCTCCTGTAGCTTGGGGGCAGGCCCGAGCCCTGCGCTGCCCGAGCCCGTCCAGCCCCTGGCGGGGCTTCCCACCCCAAGGGGCTCTGCGCTGGCCCCCACCGAGGCAGGGGACCCGACCGGCTCGGAGCTCGGCTGGATGTTACAGGCGTGCAAAATGGAAGGGTTTCCCCTCGTCCCCCCTGTGAGTACTGGGAACTCCTCTACCAGCTCAGCCTGCGGCCTTCGGACGCCCGCCCGCCTGCCCACCAGCCCGCCAGCCCACAGGCTGCCCTCCTGGCTCGCTATCAGTGGGAAGTCGGTGTTTCCTCCCCAGAGCTCCTGGCCTGAGACCCAGCGAGAGGGCCACTGGGTCGTCAGAGCATGCCCTGGCGGGCTGAGGCTGGGCCCTTGGTGGGGCTGTGATCGGTGGGGCCTGAATGGTTATTTATAGATGGGGCTCGGGCGAGGTCTGAGCTCCAGGGCAGGGCACTGGGCCGAGGATGGTGAGGGCGGCGGCAGAGAGGTGCCGGAGGAGGGAGGCGATGGGGAGACTGGCTGGGGAAAGCTGGTCCCCAGGACAGTAAAGCTGTGAGAGCAGGAGGCAACGGGCCAGAGGTCTCGGCCTATGGCCTGGGAGCCCTTGGCGACCGAGGCTGCCCGAGGTCTGGGTCCCCAGCGCCTGGCCTGGGGCCTGGCACAGAGGACACGGTTGTTGATAAAAGGGTCTGGGCCTTGGGTCCACAGGTCCCCCGGAGTCTGGGGCAGGGGCAGGGTCCAGGGGTGCAACAGAGACAAGGGCTGCAGTTAGGGTTGGGGCTAGGGCTGGAGATGAGGGAGAAGAGGGTGGGGGCCAGGGCTGGGGACATCTTGGGCCTGGGGCAGGATCTGATCGAGTGTGGGACAGGAGTTAGGGCAGGGACTGCGGTCGGAGGTGAAGAAGAAGGACCAGGGGCCCAGGAAGGATAGGGCAACAGGCTGGTGCGGGTGCCCACTGCCCCTGCTCTGGGTGACCGTGGCAGCCGTGGGCAGGTGCCGGCCTTGGGCTCCTCTGAAAGGACCTGTCCTTTTTCTCACTCCCTCTCTACTCAGCAATGGTGGGGAGCCCTGGGTGGGGGGCTGGGGAGGGCCTTGGCAGGGCCTGCCCACCTGACTCAGCTTTCCCGGCCTAGAGGCCGCTCCCTTCCCCCGCCCATCCCAGCTGCCCACCCCAGCTGCGCCTCAGAGCCCCCGGGGGGCAGGCGGCACCTCGGGCCTGACACCCGCTGCTGGGCTGCCCTGCCTGACACCCCCGTGCCGGGCTCCTGGCCTCCCCACTTGGCTGGACACAGCGCCAGCCCGCTGCCCCCGCCCGCCCACCCTGGCCCTGCCCCACCTTTCCCCGCCTGGAACCTGGGAGGTGCGGGGCAGGCCGGGGGTGATGGAGGTGGTCCCAGGAAGAACCACCTCTGTCTCAAGGAAGTCATAGGCCCAGGGGCTTGGCCGTCCTCTCTGACCCTGCCTCTCAACCCCTAAGCCCCAGACAGAGAGGGGCCAGAGGCACATCTTAGGCTCCCGTGCCAAACCCTTCAGCCCCTCTCCCCTCCTCAGGGGCTGCCCGGGCATTCCTGGGAGGGTGGGCCCCCAAGGCAGCCCTGGCCCCCAGTCCAAGCCCTGAGGGCCACAGCGACTGTTGTGCAATGCTTGGGCACACGCGTCAGGGTGGGGAGAGGCCTGACGACTGCTGGGAAGACTGGGTGTGCATGTCCCGGTGCATGTGCCAGAGAGGAGGAGGAGGAGGAGGAGGAGGAGGAGGCGGAGGAGGAGGAGGAGGAGGAGGAGGGCGGGGGAGAGGGGGGAGGGGCCGAGGGGAAGGGAGGGTTCCAGGGAGGGTGTCAGAAGCGGGTGGGTGAGGGGCAGTGAGAAGATGGAGGCTCTGGCCACCCATGGCTCCCGCAGCCCGCCTGGGCGCAAGCTGTAAATCCCATCGGTGGTGGCCCTGGGCGGGCCTGGGGCCTGGGGCCTGGGCACAGGCTGGGAGGGAGAACAAGGGCGGGGGTGGGCGGGGGACCTGGGCAGGAGGACAAGCGCGTGGGCTGTAAGGACAAGTGTGCAAGAGCGATGGGGGCGACTGTGGAAGGCTATAGGTACAGAGGTGAGTTACCTGTGCTTGAAGGCGAGCGTGTGCCTGCGTGTGTGAATCCGAGTGACTCTGTGTGGGCCTACGGTGTGCGTGTATCTGTGCGAGTGTGAGTGTGAGGGCGCCTGTGGGCGTGAGCTGTGGGAGCTGTGGGCGTGTGGGTGTGCGCGTGTCGTGGGGAGCGTGCGTACGCAGTGGGGCTGTGGAGGGGTCAGCGCGAATGTGAGAGGGCGAGTCTGTGAGACCGGGGCTCGGCATGTGAGTGCGACAGCGTGTGCACAGCGCCTGTGAGGAGGGCGCAGTGGGGGTGAAGGGAGGCGGTGCTCTCCCCTCAGCCCTGGTCTTTTGACCTCTGACCTCCAGGGTCCCTGTCTGCAGGAGCCATGACTCTTGCTCTCCCGGGTCCCCGCTCCCGCTCTCTGTGGCCTCTCCCAGGCCCAAGCAGAAGAGAGCCCGCTTCAGCGGCTCAGTCTGGGAGGGCGGTGTGGACCCAACATATTGCGGGGGGCTGCAAGCCTGACCGGGGTCCCCCCGCCACATTCCGAGTCCTGACACCCTCCTCTCTCAGCAGCCGTCGGAAGACCTGGTTCCCTATGACACAGATCTGTACCAACGCCAGACGCACGAATATTACCCCTATCTCAGCAGTGATGGAGAGAGCCACAGTGGTGAGTTCAGGCCCTCCCTGCCCCGCTGCCCCAGCCTGGCCCGGGCGCGTAAGTGACCCCTGGGGCCTGGCAAGAGAGAAAAGAAGAAATGGCTTCCAGGGCTTCTTTGGAGAATTGGCTCAAGCCAGTTCCCAGGGGATGTGCGTTCCCCACCCTAAACCCCCACACTGCCCTCTACCTCCCACCCCAGCTTCCATTTATTGAGCATCTTTGGTGCGCCAAGGCACGAGGTTCTTCCACGTTTATCTTCTCGTCCAGTCCTTGTGGTCTTTTTACAGACAAGGACACAGGCTTAGGGAGCGAAGTGATTTGGCCAAGGTCGCACAGCTGGCTGGGGGGACCCAGGTCTGCCTGCTCCAGGCGCAGCGCCTTTTCCTCCCCGTGTCTCCCCCTCCCCCCTGTCCTCGCCACCCCCTTACCCTGAACTGTTGGCGCAGGCCCTCTCCCTGCCATGGGGAACTAGCAGTTTCTTAGCCTCTGTTGACGCTTGGGACGAGATAATTCTACGGTGTCGAGCCCATCCTGTACGTTGTGGGACATTTAGTGGTGCCCTCGCTTCTACCCACTAGGTGTCAGTAGGGCCACCAGTCCCAACAACCAAAAACGTCTCCGCACATTGCCGAGTGTTCCTTGCGGGGCAGAAGAACCCCAGTTTGACCATTGCTGGGCTAAAAGAATGGCTCTGAGGGTCCCCTTATTCAGCAGGGGCTGAAGCCCCCCCCCCCTGCTGTTTGCTGGGGTGGGGGCAAGGATGGGGCCTGGGCTAGGGACCCTTCTGTCTGGGTGTAACCGCCCACCCCAAGGCTCAGCCTGGATCCTGGAGCAGATTCAAGGGAGGAGAGAGAGGCATTAGGTGCTGGGACCGTGGGGGTGGACTGTGACCAGGTCTTGGCATATCGGTAGGGACACCCCTGAACCAAAGATGACGTAGTCTAGTTAATGGGTCCTCACTGGGGCTCTGAGACCTGGGCAGCCCAGACCCTGTGTGTCTGCAGCCCGAGGGAGAGGCACGCTGGGCGCCACAGCTGAGCGAGGCTTCACGCTGGAAGGCCGCACCCGGGGGCCGGCCCCACCTGTAGCCCCACTGTGCAGGCGCCTCGGCGGCAGCCGCAACACACCAGCCACACCCAGGTGGGCCACGCGCGGAGAGTCCTAACTTAGGGCTCTCCTACCTGGATGCCAAACCTTGTGACCCGCGTCACGTGGAGCTCGCACCTGGCAGCTCCTATAAAGACCGTACCTGGAAGCCGTGTCTTGGGAGGAGGGGCGGACGTTCCTCCGGCCTCATCAGGGAACACGCAAGGCTCTTTTAGAAACAACCTCACGGCTGGAAAGGCTTTAAAATATCCTCTTCTGCATCCTTTTAAACTTATTATTCTACAAGAAATGCCTCCTCTCTTTGAGAAAGCCAGACAATTCATAGAGAGAGTCTCCCTCATCCAGTCTACCCCCAGCACCCCCAGCCAGGATGGGGCCTGCGGGGGTCAGGGGCCAGCGCCCACACCTAGCGGTCAGGACCTGAGGTCTCTCGGGCTTGAGGACTGGCGCCCCCTGGTGGCTCCAGGCAGCAGGACCCTGAGCTTGCCTGGGATTGCTTCCAGCGTTAGGGATCCTTTTGCCTCCAGCCTGACCCCCTCGCAGTTTCACTAAATTTGGGTGCATTTCTTTTGGGTCCACTGAAGCCTCAGTTTTCCCACCTGTAACATGGGAGTGATGTTCCTATTTTTCGAAAGGAGCTAGGCCTGGGGCTGGCTGATGGAGGAGTACTTTTGAGAACGCCTCTGTTCTCTGTCCCTTATATCTGGGTGGGGCTTTAGGAATGACTCCTGATTAGATGCCTGAGCACCCAGTTTGGGTTGTGAAGCTTCAGTATCTTCAGAGACCCTTCCAGTGTCCCCACGTGTCTCAGTTCCCACTTCTCCTGGCATCTGATCTGGCCCTTCCTAATGCCTGTTGGAAGGCATCGCCTACAGGCTCGAGTAGAGACACCCCCACTTCCTTCCCCCAGTTCCTGCCTGCTCCTTGGCCTATATTTTAGGCAGCGAGGTTCCGTGAAAAGGCACCGGGGCAGGACCCGAGTCTGGCCTGGTTGTGTCACTCACCAGTGTGTAAACTTGGAGGCTGACTTAGTTTCTCTGAGCCTGTCCTCTCACCTGTAAAACTGACAGAATGAAAATACTGCATAGAGTTGTGATGCTTAAATGAGGTGATGCCGGAAATGTATGAGCTAACATACTGAGTCCCAGGCCCAGTCAACATCCAGGACACGGTGTGGTAGCTTTACTGCGTCCCCCAGGCAGGGGAGATGGGCCGCTGCAGAGGGAGGCGCACAGAGGGCTCTGGGAAGACCGGCCAGCGAACCAGCCAGCCACTCATGCATCTAACACTTACTGTCCAACCTGCCTGCCCACACGTCCAGCAAATAGCTTCTGATTACTTGCCAGGCACCAGACACTGTTCTGGGCACCGGAGGCTCCATGGCGAGCAGGTTAGACAAGGCCACTGCTTGTCCAGGGACGGGGAGAGACCGTGACAAGCAGACAGGCAGACGTGTGATCATAAGGCCTGTGAGAAGCAGAGCGGTGTAATGTGCTGTGTCTGCGCGGGGAGCTGCGTTCATGTGGGGGCCCAGCAAGGGCCTCTGCGAACGCGGCCGCTGAGAGGACCTCTGCGCGAAGAGAAGGAACCTGCATGCACAGGCAGGTGGGGGCAGGGGGCCTTAGGCCGGGGCCAGAGCGGCCGTGAGCAGGGGTGGGGGTGGAGATAAATGAGGCCGGGGCCTGCGGAGGGGGGCGGACCTCACGGGGCCGCAGGCCGGGATGGGTATGGGTGTGGCGCCCCCCACAGCGGGAGCCTTTAGAGTGTGAACAGGACAGTGACATGATCTGCATAACCTTCCGTGCGGGGGGGGGGGGGGGGGGGTGGTGGTGGTAAAAAATTTAAATGAAATCTAAATCTTTAAATTTTAATAATTAAACTAACACATGCTTATTGCAAAACTTTTTAAAATGCAACAGTATGTCACGTAAAATATTTTCCTTGTCCCGGCCTTGCTCCTCACTGATAACACCTCCATCTATGCTCACCCACATTTTATTCTACGTGTATAATCCGCACATTTGTGAATATTTGCACTTACACGTGTATAGTCTCCTCGTTCAAAAATGAAATTGTCTGTCACACTGCTCTGTCGTTTGCTATTTCTTACTTAAACATATAGGCATTTCTTCATGACATCCATGGCATATCAGAGAGAGACTAAAGATACTTTTTCCAGTCTATTCCGGTGCTGTGTAAAAACGTATGTCTGCAGATTCGAAATAGAGGCTTAGAGCAGTGGTTTTTCAACTGTTTTTGTCTCATAGTGCACCTAAACTGATTACTAAAATTCCGTGGCACACCAAAGAATCTGTCTTGGTTTCTTTTGCCGATCTGACAAAAAAAAAAAAAAAAAAAAAAGGTAAAATTTTGATTCATTCACACCAGACAGCTATTATTGTGTTGGTTGTTGTCATTTTTTATTTGACGATCTAAGAGAAAAGAGGTCAGTGTCCCTGACTAAATAGCCAGGTGTCGCATGTTTTAAAAACTCTTGCGGCGCATCTGTGCGCCTCCTCCGGCGCGCCTTTTCAAAGGGGGGCAGTGTCTATTCACTTGTTCGATGAAAGATGAGAACGTGGCTTTCTAGTCATTCATAACACACACACACACACACACACACATTCCTCCACACATACCAAGATAATTATTTAGTAACATTTCTTTTTTTCTAGTTTTCTTAATTAACATATAACACTCCATAAATTTAAGGGGTACAGCATAATGAACACACACACACAGTGAAATGATTACCACAGGTTTAGTTAATAGCCATCACCTGGTATAGTTACAAAAATTTTTTCCTTGTGATGCGAACCTTTAGGATCTATTCTCTTAGCAACTTTTAAACACACCATACAGCAGTAGTGACTATAGTCATCACGTTGTTCATTGCCTCCCCAGGACATATTTATTTGATAACTGGAAGTTTATGCCTTTGACCACCTTCAGCCAATTCCACTACCCACCACCCCACCCTCTGCCTCCGGCAGCCACTAATCTGAGATCTGTTTCTGTGAAGTATGTTTGTTTCTTTTTAAATGATTCTACATATAAGTGAGATCATACAGTATTTGTCTTTCTCTGTACGGTAACTTCTGTGAAATCTGTATCTGAATTTTCCGTTATTTTGACCATGTGACTGTTGCTGAACCACATGGCACACTTTACCTGTATGTTCTCGTCCCTGCTTTTCTAAGGGATAGCAAAGCGAAGGGCGAAGAGCCCTCATTCCAGGACCAGAATACTGCTGGGGGCCACACCCCACCTCCCATTACTACCCGGGGCGACCATGGGCAGGATACATCCCCTTGCAGTGCCTCAGCCTTCTCTGACACTTCACAGGATTCCTGTAAGGACTGAGTTACTTACTGTATGCAAAATGCTTAGAGCAGTGAATGTTATACTATAAGGGTTTGTTATCCTTATCAGTACAGTTTTCTAAGAAAGGGTGGGGAGTAATGTTTTGCGGTTGTTTGCTTTACCTCGTGTCTTTAATCTATGCTCTCGCTTGGTTCCTAGTAGCTTGGCTGTGCATAGAAATCTGGGTTCAAAAATCATTTTTTCTCTTAGACATGCAAAAGTATTTCTCTGCTGACCGCTGGTTACCAGAGGTTTTCTTGTGAAGCCTGACGCTTTTCTACATCTTTTTTTTTTTTAATGTAACCTATTGTTTGTTCATTTTTTGCTTGGACAGAGGCGCTGGCAGTAGAGACAGGAAGGAGTGGATAGATTCAGGATAAATTTTGAAGGCAGGGCTCACAGAATAGGCTTAATTGTGATGAAATGCACATAACAGAAAATGTACCCTCCCAACCACTTTTAAGTGTACAGTTCGGCAGCAGTATGTGCCCTCACGCAGTCGTGTGACCTTTGCTGTCACCCACACCCAAGCTCTGTCACCTCGTAAGACTGAAACTCGATCCCCATTACACTCCAGCCGCTCACGGCCCCTCCCTCCAGCCCCTGGCAAGCGCCATTCTACTTTCTGTTTCTCCACAGTAGGTACCGCGTGAGTGGAATCGTACAGTACTTGTCCTTTTGGGTCTGGTTTATTTCATTCAGCACAGTGTCCTCAAGGCTCCTTCATGTTGCAGCATGTATCAGAATTCCTTTCCTTTTTAGGGCTGAATGACACTCCACTGTATGTATAGACCACATTTTGTTTGTCCGTCTGCCAGTGGACTCCTGGGTTGCTTTTAGCTATTGTGAGTAATGCCGCTGCAAACATAGGTGTACAAACGTCTCTTCCAGTGCCTGCTTCCCAGTGCTTTTGGACATATACTCAGACGTGGAATTTCTGGATCATGTAGCGATTGTATTTTTCGTTTTCTGAGGAACCGCCCCACTCTTTTCCCCCGTGGCTGCACCAGTGTGCATTCCCACCGACAGCACACGAGGGTTCCCGTTTCTCCACCTCCTTAATGACCCTGGTTGTTTTCTGTTTTTGGGTAATAGCTGTCCTACTGGGTTTGATGGGGTTTGCTTTCTGCAATGGGACTGGTAAAGGAAATAGAGTCCCAAAGAAAGACCTCTTCTCTCCATCCATCCATCCATCCATCCATCCATCCATCCATCCATCTTTCCATATACTTTTCATTCTCCTATACTGCGAACCATCGACCAATTTATTCACACATCAATCTAGTCATCCACTAACTCATCTTCCCAATTGTCCTTCCCTCCATCTACCAAACCCTCCATCCATCTCCCACTGATTTATCCATCCAATAAATATATACAAGCATCTTTTACGTTCCAGGCCCATTGCTAGGTCCTGTGGACTTGTCTTTGCAACAAGGGAAACAACTAACACCCTAATAGCCAGGATCCGAGGTAGACAATAACGAGTTCCCTGAGACCTGGAGCCTCCTGCTCTGGACCCGTTTCCACCTCTGAACAGTGTGCAGGAGGCAGGCCTTCAGGAGCCCTCGTCCAGTGGTCTGTGGTTTCCTGGGGTTCCTTCTCCACTCTTGCTTTCTTGATTCTCCATCTTCCTTCTCTGCCTTGTTCTTACTCCTGCTCCCCTGGGGGAGCCCTGGCTTCAGGCTGGGGTTTTTGGTCTGAGGAGATAACGTCAACTGAATGATACTTCAGGCTTGAATTTTTTGTGTGTGGGATTGCTTTGAATATCAGTTTATTTTTGTCCCGGAGATACACAGCTGTTAGTGACACCAAAAAAACTGACTGAGAATAGGAATGCATGGCTAGGACTTTGGTCCCAGGTTGGGAGCTGGTTTAGAGGGAGGAAACGAGAGGTTGGGATGAGTGGGCTACTGCTGGCTGGCTGGGGGATGGGTGGGTGTTGGACATCTGGGTGGACGGATGGGTGGATTATGGGTAGATAACGGCCGGTGACGAGTGGGTGCAGAACGGGTAAGGGGTGATGCGCGAGGGGAGGAGGGTGGTAGACAGGCAGATGGGTAGGGGCAGGCAGCCGAGTCTGTCACAGAGGGTCTTACTTAGAGCCTTCATTACCAGTCTTGTTCCGCAGGGCTGGTACAGTGGCGTGGCTGAGAGTTCAGTCCCTAGAGTCACACACGGGTAGATGCGGGTCCTGATTGTGCCAACGCCTGCTTGTGGACGAGGGACTTAATCTCCTTGAGTCAGAGTTCCCTGCTGTACAAAAGGAAGATAACAGTATAGCGGCCAGCTGGTGGGCCCCAAACCTGAAGGCTTTTCCAGCTCTGCAAGTGACTGTGAGGAAGGCCTCCTGTGACCCCCTTTGGGAAACGCTGGCCTTGGGCTGGGACCACCAGAGTGAGCCCATGGGTCTCAGGGGGAGCCAGACGGAGGTGGGGAACAGGGGGGAAGGGCCATCGGGGTCCTCCCTCGGCGCCTGGTCAGAGCTAAGCTGAGGATTCAATGCGGTAATGCGGACGAAGTTACTTAGCACAGTGCCTGGTACATTAAAAACACACTCAACTAAAAGTTAACCTGTACGGATCATTTAATGAAATATTGATTGAGGCTTACTATGTATTGGGTGCCTAACACGCTACAGCGGGGATGATGCACAGCTACCTCTAGATCTGCCAGGGCTGCGTGTTCTTGGGAGGAGCAGAGAATCACGCGAGGGGGCCATTCAGCGCAGGATGGCCTTGGGGGCCGTCGACGGGGCAGAAGGGGGTAAGGCAATGCCCTCACGAACAGTCATCTAGCAGCGAGGTCCAAGGAGCCCAGGCCGCTAACCTTTGCTCTCAGAAGGACTCCCCCGGACCTGCCCTGCTCCCCAGAGGGCCCCGCGCTGGGGCCGTGCCTGCCCGCCCGGCAGCGTGGGTTACATAATTGCCTGAGTGCCCAAATCAGGGGTGAAGGGGAGGTTTCCGTTGGGCCTTTTGAAATCTTAGTTATAGCTCAAGAGTCTCCGTTGCAGCTTTCAGGGCACCCAGGGGCGGGGTTCCCGACCTTCAGTGAGCAAAGGAACACCCTCAGGACCCTCTTAAATTCCAGATTCCGAGAGTCCTCATCAGCACCCCTGACTCAGTGGGTCTCCGGTGGGCCCCACACCTGCAGCTCCCCACATGACTCTGAGGGGGGCCTTCTGTGACCCGCTGTGGGAAGTGCTGGCCTCAGGCTGGGGCCAGCAGACTGAGCCCATGTCTCAGGTGGAGCCAGAACAGAGTGGGGAACAGGAGGGAGGGGCCATCAGGGCCCTCATCCCACACCTGGGCTCCCCCCCACCCCAAAGTGGAGTGAGAGTGAGGGGGAGGACAGGGCTGGGTGCGCAGGATCCATGGGGCACTCTATGACGATCCGCGCCCTTCAGCCCGGGTGGGGGAAGGAGAAGTGGGAAGGGCCAGGAGTAGGGCGGGAGGGTGGATTTCCAGCTAAAGAGGAACCCGGATCGGCTCACTAAATCCCAGAGCCCCCAAAGGGCCTGTGTCTAATGGACAGAGCCAGGTCCTCCGCCGCAAGTGGAGAGTTTCTGGATCGTGCTATCTCAGGACAAGGCCACTGCACAAATTAAGTGTTGTTTTGTTTCCCCTTTGGGTTTAGACTTTTGTGGAGAAGAGCCGGAGAGAGCTCTTGAGAGAACAGGACTCACTCACCCACTCAGTCATTCGGGATGTGTTTGTGATGCGCCTCCTGGGTCTAGGCCCTGAGAAGCACAGAGCTGAATAAACACAGCCGTGCCCATTGTGGCTTGATACCGGTTTCTTCCTCCGGGAGAAAGTGGCAGCTGGGGCCCCTGAAACTATTTCTCTGGGACACTGGCTGAGGTGATGGGAACAGGGGGAAGAGGAGGAAATACATACATTTCAGAGCATCGGCCCTTTGCTCAGCGGCTAATCCAGGCTCGTTAGGATAAAAGAGTAACAGTAGTGATGATAACAATAAATGTTCATTGAGTCTCATGTTGAGGCAGGTTCTAGTCTAAGCACTTGGGAGGCTCATTTAATCCTCACAACAAGCACAGGAGATGGGGGGCACATTAGCCCCAACCTAAAGACGAGGGGACTGAGGCTTGGAGAAGTCCAAGGACCTGGCCGTGACATCCCACGGCAAATGAGAGTCAGGACTGGCGCCCGGCTCTGCCTGGCTCCCAAGTCGTGTATTTCTCTCTCCTCTATGCTCTGCAGCCTCTTAGAGGTGGGAGTCGGGGCTGAGGAGTCAAATGACTTCATCCGTGGATGAGGTGTCAGTCCTACCCAGCTGGGTCTCTGACTTTTGAAAGGAGAGGTTTGGGGTCACATGGCAAAGCCACCACAGAGCTCCCCCGAAATGCATGTCATTTCTTAGGGATGTGTGAGTGGGGCTGTGCTTGTGCCCCAGAGAGAAAAAAAGAGGGAGACAGACAGACAGACAGACATGCATCCATCACACGCAGACACACAGTGGGCAGGTGGTCCCCCTGCCCAGCCTTATGCTTGTCCCCGGGGCACAGCCCTGGCCTAGCATCCTGTACACTCTGCCGTTGGGTCACATAAGAAAGTCCCTCTTGTCACTTTATCACCACACCTTCTTCTGGACCCCAAAATGTACCCAGGAAGTGTTCAGACATGTGGCAGGTTTTGTTCGTGGAAGAGGTGCCCAGAGGAACCGCGTGGAAGACCTGCCCGAGTCCCAGGGCAGGGCTCCCAGTGGCTGTTCCCCAAACGCGAATCCACCCACCGCAGATGCTGAAAGCACCCGTAGGGGAGTTTCCAGGAAAACCTCGGGCCCTGGCAACCTCACTGGAACTCAGATACAGCTGCCCAAGGACATGGCTTTGAAAGGGCAGCACTGTGAGCCTGGGCTAGTTCTGGTGTGTGAAGAATGTCAGCCCTGTCACTTTGCAGTCACACACCTTGGCCATGTGACAAGGCCGTGACCATGTGGCTGGGTAGCCGGTCAGCTCAGGAACCACCAGGAGGTCTTAATTGGAGGTGAGGGGGATAGGAATCAGCTTTCCTCAAAGTCCTGCTGTGGGGCTTGGACTTTTACAAATGTGAACTCATTGGTGGTTATTATCCCCATTTCACAGGTGAGTCAACTGAGGCCAGAGAGGTCCATGCACGTGCCTGAGGTCACACGGGAATTAGATGGCAGAGCCAGGATTCAGACTCTGGCTCAAAAGCCTGCGTCCTTGTGGCCGCCTGGGAGGCAGACTGGGAATGTGGTTGAGAATGCAGGACTAGCTCCCACCCTGGGGCTGGGCTCTGCCCTGGCCGGGGCCTTGGACTGCAGGCACGTTACGTGTGCAGCCTCTCCAAGCCTCAGCATCCTCACCTGTAAAATGGGGACGGTCAAATAACAAGCTGGGTGGTTAGATGGTTGACGTCAACTTGTAGCCGGGCTGGCATTCTTAGTTTTTAAATTGTCTCGCCTTTTCTGCCGGCCCCCACCCCGGGCCCCCGCTGCGCCGCCCGGCCGCACCCCGCAGATCATTACTGGGACTTCCACCCGCACCACGTGCACAGCGAGTTCGAGAGCTTCGCCGAGAACCACTTCACGGAGCTGCAGAGCGTGCAGCCCCCACAGCTGCAGCAGCTCTACCGCCACATGGAGCTGGAGCAGATGCACGTGCTGGACACCCCCATGGCGCCCACCCACGCCGGCCTCGGCCACCAGGTGCGTGTGGCCGGCCCGGCCCGCGGAGCCCGCTGCCTGTGGTGAGGCCCGGGCTTCACAGGAAGCTGACACAGGCTCTTACTCAACCCGGCTTCCTGCCCCACAGCGCCAACGGCGGCTGGAGCCCCAACGGCTCCTCCTGACCCTCTGACTGACCTCATGACCCCACACCCTTATCTCCTCTCGCCCCACAATGGACAGAGCCCAGATAATTCCACCCCTGCCCCCACTGATCCACCGAACCCCAACCGCCTGGTCCTGAGCCCTCCTGACCCTTGCTGGCGGCAACGCTCATTCACTGGCCCCTGATGGATCTGCCATCCAAGTCACTGAGCGCTGACCTGCGCTGACCTCTGCTGGTCCCTCCCTCTCCCCGCCAACCCCCTTTACTGACTCTCCTCAGCCCCACCAGCCCTCATGCTGGTCAGTGACCTCCACGGACCTCTACCTCCCCTCACCGACCTCCACGGCCCCTTCATGCTCTCGTCACGCTTTCACGCTGAGTTAACACTGGTATCAACTCGTGGGCCCTCTTCAGCCCCACTGCTCACCCAGGGCCCCCGCTAGTCCACACGCTACCGTTGTGTGTGAGAAAAAAGGGCCCCGGCCCTGGGCCACCCGGCCCTGAACCAGGGCGCCCAGCCCGGCGTGGGGGGCTTTCAGCAGCCCCTCGTCCCCAGCACCTGCACCCCGTGTGACCTGATCGACCTCCAGCCTCCTCAGCTTCTCCCAGATCTCCCTGGGCCCGGCCGACCCCCGCGCTCAGCGCTCCCTCTCCTCTCACTCTGCGCCCCTGCCCTGCAGCCCAAGCTTCGAACGTCCCTTGCTGACCTCGGTGCTTTTTCCAGGTCCCCTACCTACCCCGCGTGTGCCTCCCATACCCCTCCTTGTCGCCCGCCCAGCCTAGCACGGATGAGGAGGAGGGCGAGCGGCAGAGCCCCCCGCTGGAGGTGTCTGACGGGGAGGCCGAATGCCTGGAGCCGGGGCCGGGCCTCCTGCACGGGGAAACAGGTAGGGGGCCCAGCCCCAGCCCGATTCTGGCCGTATCTGTGCCCCGAGACCACACCAGCTGAGGCCAGCTGACGCGGCAGCCACACCGCAGAGCTGAGCGTGTGTGTACCCATGAGTGTGAACGTTTGCCAATGCGTGTGTTCCTGTGTGTTTGGTGGGAGAATCTATGACCGTCTATACCTCCGTGTGTGTCTGTATGTGCACAAGAGAGTGGGGCATGCACCCAGGCCGCTCTGTGCCTGAGCGTGGGCGGGCGTGTGCACGTCTGCACCCCTGTGCTGGGTGCGAGTGGGTGCGTGCCAGGCGTAGGGCTGGGGGGCTGGTTCCCCTGTGGACCTCCCCCATCCTGTCCTTCCCTAACGACACCCCCGAGGGGCCCCCCTACCTGGGGTGGTGGGCACGGGCCCCCGTGCTGGGGTGCTGACCTCCTCCCACACACAGGCAGCAAGAAGAAGATCCGCCTGTACCAGTTCTTGCTGGACCTGCTCCGCAGCGGCGACATGAAGGACAGCATCTGGTGGGTGGACAAGGACAAGGGCACCTTCCAGTTCTCGTCCAAGCACAAGGAGGCGCTGGCACACCGCTGGGGCATCCAGAAGGGCAACCGGAAGAAGATGACCTACCAGAAGATGGCCCGTGCGCTGCGCAACTACGGCAAGACGGGCGAGGTCAAGAAGGTCAAGAAGAAGCTCACCTACCAGTTCAGCGGGGAGGTGCTGGGCCGCGGGGGCCTGGCCGATCGACGCCAACTGCCCCACTGAGCGCCCTCAAGCGACCTGCTGGGCCGGCCAGGCCTCCTTGCTGGCCATAGCATTAACCCCCACCCGGCCCGGACACAGGGAGGGAAGCTCCCAGGGGCCAGGGCAGGACTGCGGCGGGCCAGGCCTCGCCTCACACCCCCCCACCCAGACCCTACCCTACATCCCTGCTTCACTGCTCACCAGGACTCTAGCTTCAGCCCAAAGGCACCTGGGTGTTCGATGCCTAGAAAGGGTCAGCACCGCTTAGTCCAACCAGGTGCTTGCTTGGGAGTTCGAAGCCACCTTCTGTAAATTGAACCTTCCCCGAACCTTCCCCTGATGCGTCCCTCCCTTCCCACACCTCTCCCCCTTAGCTTCCCCATTAAAATTATTCTCATGGGTGCTCTTGCGGCACAGAGAGTCTCTTTTAAAATAGTTTGTGCACCTTGTCCGTCCCCCGCCTCCACCCCGTGTGGTCTTGCCTTTCCCCATTTGTCTACCAGGCATTTACTGAGGACCCTCCCAGTGCTCAGATGCCAGGGACGTGAGGTCACAGGGACCGACCAGGATGGAGAGCTGGTGGAAAGAATGAGTCCTCTGTTGTTATGGGAGAAATAAATCATTAAAAAGCCCTCCAGACCTGATAAATCAGTTAAAGAAAACAAAACAAAACAAAACACAACAAACTTCAATGAGGCTTAAAGTGATCATCCGTAGGTTACGACCCCAATGCTGGCGACAGCAATAAATGGCAACAATGCTGGGTTTTCTGGTGATTTATTACACATCAACCTGGAGAAGTGGGGCCCAAGAGCACCCTGCTTTGTAGACGGGGGAACTGAAGCTCATAGGGGTCACGTAATTTGTTCACGATGGCACAGCTGGCTGGGGGCGGGCCGGACCGAGCTCCCCGCGAGGGAGGAGGCTCCACGTGTCTGGGGTGGGGCACCTTTCCGCATGGGTGGAGCAGGAGTGGAGCCCCAGAGCACCAACGGGCCACCAAGTGTCCTGGCCAAATCCATGCGAGCAGGACCCTTGACACAGGCGACCCCTTGGGTGAAGCCTGGTGTCTTGTGTTCTCTGGCCTCCCAGCCACAGCCTGGGAGGACCAGAAAAGATAAGGCAGAAGCCTCTGAGCATTTTGCTCCCGACGACCCAGTGGCAAGAAGTGGAGGCCGAGAGCCTGGGAGTGAGAGAGTGTCCCAAAGCGGCCGCAGGCCTCAGAGCACCCAGATTCTGGGGCCCTCAGGGTTGGGCAGACACCTTGCACACCGCCTCACCCTGAGGCCTCGGGCCCACGGACGCCCAGGCGGGACACCCTCTGTGTGTGTCTCCAAGGCCTGAGAGAGGGTCAGTGGTGCACTGTCCTCTTTTAAAGGAGGCTCAGGGGCATGCCACGCAGTTGGAAAGTGGTTACAATGGCAGAAGAGACTGAATTTCTGTGTTTAAAGGGATGGCGCATTTCAACCACGTGGACAGTGCTTGTGTGGAGAACTGCTTCCTCCTGACCAGGGGGGAAAAGTGGCCGTGCCTGGGATTAGGTCTCCCTTTGAGGGTGGCGCATGTAATTTGCTCCTTTCTTTATAGCAACCGATGCCCCTGATGGGAGGAGGGGGCGAGAGAGGGGGGCAGTCGCAGGGGGCAGAGGCCACAGAGGAGCAGCAAGGGTGGGACACGAGGGATCAGAACACCCTGGCAGGCAGGTCTGTGTGAGTCCGTGGGACTTCGCCCCCATGCCCTCCCCTGCTGGCTCACCCTTCCCTGTGGGGGGGTGGCAGCCCTCAGCGCGGCTCCCTCCCCACCCGGCCCTGGAGAAAGCACGCTGGCCCCACAGCATGGAGCCGGCCCAGGGCCCTGTGAGCTGCGGAAAGAGGGGCCAAATAATAAGGGCAAACTTCCACTCGGCATTTCCACGTGCCTGGCTGGCGCTGCTCCAGTGTTTCCGCAGGTAAACCCTCTTCGTTCACGGAACCATCCTGCGTGGTGCATGTTGCAATCACCAGCCCCACTTTACAGATGAGGAAACCCAGGCACGGGGAGGTCAAGGGGGCGGCTGTGGCAGGACTCGGGGCAGCCAGGATCTGTGCGCGTACCACCGCCCCATCACCCAGCAAGGATGCGCGTTTCGTCCATCCACCTCGGGGCCACGGGCCCAGCACGCTCCCGCAGCACAATTTGCCTGTCAGATGGTGCACAGACAGGGCTTGGGGTACCCTTGAGGACTGGGGGGGCAGAAGCCATCATATTGGGCGGGTGGGGGAAGGGCCAGGGGCCAGCCAGGAGCAACGCGGCCCCACCTTCTCCCGGAGAGCCCTTGCTCTCTGGAATTTGTCTATATTTAGCAGGTAGCTGGGAAGGAGGCAGATAAGGGGAGCCTGGGGAGGAGGAGGGCCCCTTATATAGTGGGGGGACGGGTCCCTGCTCAGATCCTCCGTGGGCGGCCTGTACCTGCTCGGTTCCTGGTTCGATGTCTCTCAAGATGCCCGAGCCGGGGAAGAAGCCAGGTAGCCCGGCCTGCGGCTGGGCTGCGCGTGGGGCGGGGAGGGCTGAGGGCGGCCGCGACGAGGTGGTAAGCCCAGGGTCCAGTTCTTGAGCAGGGTAGGGGGGCGGTGCTGTCTTCCTGAGTTCTTCTCTGACTCTCAGTTTCTCCTTCCTCTCCTTCTGAGGAGAGTGAGGGTACACCAGGGTGAGGGGGCACGGAGGGGAGACAGCCAAGGCAGGAGGCCCCCAGGGCCACTGCCCCACTCTCGGGACGCGGGGGGAACCCTTCCTTGCCCCGATCTCATCTCCTGCTGCGACAAGGTCAGGCCTAGTCTCCTTTTTGGGAAAAGGCCCCGCAGGTGAGTGTGGACCCGAACCAGGCTCACTGAACGCTCCTGGGCAAGTCCTTCCCCTTTCTGGGTCTCAGTTTCCCTGTCTGTACAAGGAGGGGCTGGGGCGGTTGTTTCCTACCTGTGAGGTTCTCGGTTTTAAGAGCCCTTGCCCCTGCGGCCCCCCACAGGGCGCGGCCCCACCCGCAGGGTGTGCAGACTCTGCTCTGGGAGACGAAGGTCAAGAGGGCCCTGAGCCCCAGCCAAGGGCAGAGAAAGTCACAGCCTTTCACAGGACCACAGGGTCCCAGTCCTGGCCTGTGTCCTCGGGGAGGCTGTACGGGGCAGGGACCCAGCCGCCAGCCCCCAGCACCCCCGCCAGCTTTATCTTGGTGGCTGGTTCTCAGCCCGAGGCCCTTAGAGGCCAAATTTAGCCACATCCAAGTAGACAGAGTACCCATTCCTTGCCAAGGACCCCAGATGGTGGAGGGGGGTGCGGAAGGGTGGCGCTGAGCTCATCACCGGTTTAGTCCAGGGATGCACTTAGCAAAAGTCTTGCGTGGAGATTAGGACCACAGCCCTGGCTCTCCCGCCCTCTGGCTGTGTGATGCTGGGAAGTCACTTAACCTGTCTGAGCCTTGGCGTTCTCACCTGAGAAATGGGCAAAACTACACCTACCCGATAGAGCCGTTAGGGCGTTAACTGAGGGGCTGCGTCAAAGGGATTAGCACCGTATTTACCAAGAGGGGCTGCAGGGGCGGGGTGCACGGGCAAGCCAGGGACCCCTGCCGCCTCTGTTGCACCCTCAGCCTCAGCCTTCAGCAAGAAGCCACGGTCCGTGGAAGTGGCCGCCGGCAGCCCTGCCGTGTTCGAGGCCGAGACAGAGCGGGCAGGGGTGAAGGTGCGCTGGCAGCGAGCGGGCAAGGACATCAGTGCCAGCGACAAGTTTGGCCTGGCAGCCGAGGGCACACGGCACACGCTGACAGTGAGGGACGTGGGCCCCGCCGACCAGGGGTCTTACGCAGTCATCGCTGGCTCGTCCAAGGTCAAGTTCGACCTCAAGGTCATAGAAGCAGGTAAGACCCTGGTCAGTCTTCCCCGAGGTTTGCCCTTCTGGGGCTTTGAGCAGGGGCAGCCCCACTGCCTCTCCATTGCCCAGGGCGTAGGAGGTGCTTTCCCACTTTCTGGCCTTTGCTTCGCCAGTGCCCTCTGCCAGGAAAGCCCCCCACTGTCTGAGAGAGCGAGACCTCTCTGAGTGTCCCTGTGTGGCTCCCTGGCCTGTTCCAGACACTGTGGAGGTGGGGGAAATTCAGAAATGAACAAGGCATAACGCAGCCCTGACACCGGACTCCCACACACAGCCTGCAGGTTGTGTGCCCCAGGGAAGCCCCAGGAGCTGAGGGCGTGGAGGGAGCCCAGCCTGGGGAGGGGAAGGAGGGATGGGCGTCCGGGCTGGTCAGAGCAGAGCCACCGGGACAAGAGCTCCGGTGGCCTGTGAGGGCGGGGGGAGGGTGAGACGCAGGCTGGCTCCCCAGCTCCTCAGAGGCGGTCCCGGGGGGCAGGAAGAGGGGGAGTTTTGGACTCTTCGCCCGACTGAGATGCACCATGGACAGTGGGTCCCTGGGTCTGACGCTCAGGAGACATGGGGCAGAGGAGAAGAGTGGGCACATGAGCTCCCCCAGGTGGTGTGTAGAAAGGGAGAGGATTTAGGGGAAAGACAGGGCCACGGGGGTGGGGGGAGCAAGGAAAAGAGAGGGACCAGGTGAAGCTCCGCACACGTATTCGATGAGTCTGCAAAGACTAAGAAGAGACGAGGGACAGGAGAGGCCTCTGATTAGAAGCTGCTCCAGGACCCCCTACTCGGTCCCCTGCAGAGAAGGCGGAGCCCGTGCCAGACCCAGCTCCTGCCCCTGTCGAGGCGCCTGGAGTTGCAGGAGAAGCGCCAGCCTCTGCCGCGGAGGTGGAAGGAGGCTCCCCGAGTCCCGAAGGTGAGAGGTGCTGGGCAGAGAGGGCCAGGGCCAGTGCGCGGGGCGTCCCAGGGCAGGTCTCAAAGGCCTCTGCTCGCAGGGTCAAGTTCAGCTGCCCCCAATGGCCCCGGTGCCCCCGAGGACCCCATCGGCCTCTTTGTGACCCGGCCACAGGATGGCGAGGTGACGGTGGGTGAGTGTGGGGCTACCGCGGCCAGGGCGGCGGGGGGAGGGAGGCAGCAGAGCATCCCCCGGGCCCAGACTGTCACCCCGCTCTTGCAGGTGGGAGCATCACCTTCTCAGCCCGCGTGGCCGGGGCCAGCCTCCTGAAACCGCCCGTGGTCAAGTGGTTCAAGGGCAAGTGGGTAGATCTGAGCAGCAAGGCGGGCCAGCACTTGCAGCTGCACGACAGCTATGACCGGGCCAGCAAGGTGGGTCTGCAGGGCAAGAGAATCTGGGGGAACTGGGGTTATGGGGACACGTGGAGGGGGGACGCAGAGAGCCCTGAGAGGCATTGGGACGTCATGAATGTGGAGGCGCACAGAGGATGCCAGGAAGGGGGGTGGGGAGCCAGGGAAGGGAGTCAGGGGGCCAGAGGCCCATGGGGAGGATGGGGAGGCTCCGCGGAGGGTTAGAGGGAGGCACGGGGGACCCGTGGGACAGGGGAACATGGGAACTTGGGGTCCCAGGGAACGCAGGAAGGCTAAGGAACATCGTAGAGCATGGCGGGGCACCGGCCAGTGGGGGTGTAAAGCCCCCGGATGGACGGGTATCAGAGCTGGAGGGGCCCCCAGTGGCCAACTAGGACAATTCATTATGCAGAGAAGGAAGCCAAAGCTTGGGAGGTTGCCGTTGCTGGTCTGAGGTCACACAGAGCCGGGCCTAGCACCTGCGCTTTGACACCAACCTCTGCTCCTTCCCCTCTCCTGTCGCCCTGGCCCGGGCGAGGGGCCTCTGGCAG